GCCTGGCACTTGTTTGCACACATCAAAAGTTGGAACCCCGTATATCACAGTACCAATTTGAAGCCATCCAAACGTTTATCAACCGAGATGGTTTAGGCGCTATTACCCGAGCTCTTGGTTATGATGAAGAAGTACGTCAACGAAGAAGCATCTCGTATACCTATAGTACCCTCGATTTGAAAGATGTTCACGGTTTAGTCAGAATGATCCACAAGGTTTGTAAATAATATGAATGTTTACATTAACTGTAATGCTTTTGTGAAGTTTATTCAAAATTTAAATGTTATAGATCGGACATTACGTTCCTAATAACGTGGATTTTAGGCAATTTGTCATGAAGATTTCTCAATGCGTTCAAGACCAGATTGTAAACATTCCTGAAGAATGGCTTATTCGACAAGAAAAGAAACTAATTCCTAATATTGTACACATGGTTACCTCTATGATTTTGAATTTACCGTCCTCTGTTACTGGAGTCGTCCGGGAAATCGAAAGGAACTATCAGCAGATGATATCATCGGGTGAGGAAGATGACGAGGACAATGATTATCTGTTGTTCCAGGAAGTTCCCGATGAACAACAAGTTATCAGAAGCTCAATATTGAAAATTGATATCGCTAATCGGCTATTGAAAACTTCGAGGCTAGACTTGCGATTAACCGGGTTGAACGAAATTAAAGAGGCCCTTCTTCTTGGCCTTAGGCATGCAAAAATTCTCAAGAAAAGTAGGCGTAGAGGTAACACTCGGAAAAGAAGCTTAAGTATTGATGGCGAGGATGATGCTGTACAAATGGATGAAGAAAGCCCATCAGATAAAATTCTTCGGTATTAAAATATAATTTTTAAGTATCCTAATGTTTTCGATCATCTATTCAAATATCTGAAATTTTTTGCAGGAGACTAAATGAAAAATTGCGAGAACATGGAATTTTGGAGTATATTTTTGGATCGAACGTTCACCTAGAGGTCGTTCAACGTTGTACTGATATTTTAATGTTTCTTATACATACTCGATCATTGACATCGCGTGAATTGGATATTATTTGGGCACCTGTTGACGGAAACCAACATCGCAGTATCATTCATGGTGTTTGTCAGGTGCTAACTGAGATATCGAATCATTTAAATCAAGATCAGAGAGATTATTTATTTGAGAAATTCATGAAAATGCCAATGAATTTCATAGAATCTCAGACATATCAATTAATACGAACATTAGTACATTCTACTTCTAATGATGTAAGACTAGGGGGTGTGGTACGTATTGTTTATGCCAATAGTCAATATTTTTTTTTATATAAATTAAAGCGTGTATATATGTTTTGTATTAGGCTGTGTCGCGTATTTCTTTTGCAGCTCATCATATATTGTGGCGTATACTTTGCGATTCGTCAATTCCGATACCTATTTTATTTAATGCTGAAATATTATCACCAACAGTCGCCGGGTCACCACCCGCAGCAACTGCAATCGATCAAGAAATTGCATCTAATGCATGTGCTCTTTTAACTAATTTGTTACAAGGTGATACTCACATTGATGATCGAAATAGATTGCTTATGATGTGTATTGAGTGCCTGAAGCAGCATGACCCTGGTACAATGTGGGCTTTGAGAATATTGACAAAGATTATATGTAAGCACGAGTATTTTATCGGTTTAATTAAACGTTACTTTTTTTTCGAATTATTCTTATATGTTTTTACAAAAAAGCGCCGCCGTTTCCCACCCACGGCGTGAGCACTGCGGAATATTTGCGTCATTTAATTACGAATATGGAATTACCACGATTATTTTTGAATGATTTGGAGCATTGGACCAAAACTGTGAAATGCTACACAGAAAGGGCAGGAAATTCTATCAGTATGGAACTTGGTAAGACTGAAATGTTTGACTATGTAGTATTACCCGTCTTTTTTTTTTTCCATTGATTGAATTCCTAATTTGCATTGACGTCCTGAAAGATCATATGTCTCCAATTGTTGGGCCTTCATTGTCAACCGTATTGTCCCCATCAAGAGCTGCAGCATTGAAAGATCAATTGGTTTCTCGGTTACAATTTTCTGGACAATCCTTAACGAGCTCATTTAATAAATCCAAAGCTGCAGTCCTTGAAGCTTCAAGTTTGCATTTTGGAGGAAGAACAGATCCTGCATGCTCAAGTGTTGGTACTTCAAAAAGACAATCGTTGAAGATCAAGTCAAGCAAGCTATGTGGATTATTAAACAATGAAATTAATAAAAGACCAAGCAAGTATTAATAAAGGATACTCGAGAACCAAAAAATAAAAATAAAAAACAAGCCGAAACCATACTCGTCATTAGGAAGACGCTTAAATTCTGGATGCTCTGCAATGATGATTGTCATCAATTGTATTAAACCAACAATAACAGTATCTTCATTAGGAGAATTAAATTGCTATTAAAAACAATAGATTATTTTAGAACATTACGTAATTAATGATATAAAAAAAGTACTAAAATTTATAACCTCTTTGATTGGATGTAATTTGATTTGTTGTTTGATATCGTTATACAGAATAGGCAAGCTAACGCGAGCAGATTTTGTTATATATGGCATCAAATGTCCCATTAGTTCAAAATATTCTTTACTAGTGTCTACATAATTTTCTACGTCTGGTAAAAATGACCATAATAAAGTGAGAAATGTTTCAAGTGAAGGCGGTAATCGAACCAAGGCTCCATCGAAGGTTGCATTGCTAGTGATCTCTTCACAAAATCGAAGAAGATTTTGTTCTAAAAGGTTTCTTGCCTCTTCTGACCGACATCCAACAAGAGCTGACATTAACCATTCACGCAAGCCTTGAAATTCGATAAAGCTCGAAAGTGCTGTTTCATCGCGTAAACATAAACAAGATAGAAGCTTCATAGAATGTTGGATGATTATTAAGTCTTCATCAACTGTCAAATCAAATTTATATGAATTTTTAAAAACGTAAATTAAATGTTTAGGGAACACCTAACCCAATGAACTCAACAAACAATCTGATTAGTAGGTTCGATCAAACAGACCAATCAGATTTTTGTTGAGCTCATTGAGATAGGTGCCTGAGAACGCATTTAATTAACAGTATCAAAAATAACAACCGTTACCTTGATATTGTGAAGGATCTACACACTTCCCAATAATATCAATCAATTTTGCAATCAAAATGTTGGAGTCAAAACGTCTAAATACTTCTGAATTCGTAGGAGAATTGTCTGCCATAAACATTTCATGTTTATAAATTATAACGTGATTAAATATCTAAAAACGACGAACATAGTAACCACGAAGCTTACCAACTGCAAAAAAGCCAATAACTTTCAATAAAAGCCCAAGACATGCACGTTTTGTAACACTTTTTTGATGATCTCCGGCAAAGTTTTCAATATCATTAGCAGCATCTTGCATCGTTAACAGCGAGAGCAAATAATCTAGGCCACCATTTTCAACAAAAAGAATACTCCATTCATCACCATTTGTAGTTTCATCACCGCCTCTTAACAACCAATCAAGAATCTGAAGAGCATAAAGCAATCTAAAAGGCGAACGATATATAAGAAGTTCTTCCCATTGTACTGGTGCCATCAAAGATTTGAGCGCAGATAACGATCCAGCATGTGTAGGCAATCGCATAAGAAGGTCCCATATCTTAAAAATTTTAGATCAATAAATTTTAGAATACTTTATTACATAAACACAAAATAAATTGCCGGAAGTTTTACGTGATATCCAGACCTGCGCTGAATAGGTCTCTTCCAGTTCTAACATAGAGAAAAATTGATCTATATATTTTGAAAGCATATTTATTGGTAGATCGGATTCAGTTATCTAAATGTATTAATACCATTTTGTTAAAAAAAAAACCGTTAAACAATGGATTTATAAATATAAATAACCACATAGTAAAAGTAATTAAATAAAACCTCTTCATCTGAGGATATTTCAGCCTTTTCGTTATCTTGTCCATTTCTGGCATCCGATGCGCGCTTAGTAGCCATGAATGCTTGACGATCTACAACTTTCAGCTTCTTTAAAGTAGTAGCATTATCTTCAGAGTGTAACTCTTTTCCGGAAAAGAACAATCGAATACTTCCAGGTCGTGGTGCTCCGATTCGTGAAGCAACTTTTTGGCGCAAAGAAAGTACAGTCTCTGAGAGATGAACTTTTATTTCAAATGTCCGTGTTGCCTACATTTGTATGTAAAGGTAATTAATTCAACAATTGTAATTTTAGGCAATCAGAATATTGAGTGAAATAATTCATTTGTAATGCATAATCTGAAACTTACACTAGCATTGTTTATGGTGACTTTTACAGTGATCATCTCTCCATCATTAAGCATACCATGCCTCCTGATTGGTCTTTGTTCAATCTGCGAATGGCTATATTTTGTATCAAACAAATCCATAAAAGACTTTAACACCTGTAAACATCTCTTAAACTTCAAGGCGTTAGATGTCTCATTGTTAGTAGATAGTATCTGCGTTTCGTCAGACATGCCAACTCCTAACATCACACTTTGTTTATTTCCTTGCTTTAAGTCGTAATTCTCTGCAGGGAAGAGTAAAGAATTCGACAAGCCGTTTGCAGCGGCAAATAGATGCCCAACACATTTGTCAACTAATGCTTCACGATGTTGACGAGATAAAGTGGTATAATTTTCTAATTTTTTATCCGTCTAATGAGAAAAAATTTTTAATGTAAGAATATATAAACCTATTCTTCAACATACAATCGAGACAAAAAAATTAACTGCTAACATTCAAATGAAGATACACTAAAAAGACAATAGCTTCTTTGCCAACTGCTTCCTCTTCAGCACGAAGAGCAATGTCCCAAATAAGATCTATACCAATAAGATCACCTTGAACAAGAATACTTAATTGGCTTTGTGACTGTGATTGTGTTGTTGGGGAAGCCTATTACAATATATAAACATTAACAGAAAGTATTGCATTCTACGAGAGGAATTCTGTAATACGTAGCATGTAACACGTTCTACGACTTACTGATCGTAATCTTGAATTTTTCGTATTAACTTTAAGTAAACAATTCTTTGTATATTTGAACGCTTGATCTGAAAAATATCTAACATCTAATTTTGATAATCGATTATTAAAGAAATGACTAATAAAATGGTCATATTCTATTATATTATCTAAATATGAAAAGGCCTCGTCTTGTTCTTGCTTGCCAATTGGATCAGCAATTAAGGATCTCCAAATAACATCGGTCTGAGCTGTTGAAGTAAAAAACGGAACCGCTTCGTAATTAGCGACCCACTGCAAAAATTGTAACCGAGAAACCAATTGATCTTTCAATGCTGCAGCTCTTGATGGGGACAATACGGTTGACAATGAAG